TCCCCTGCCCACATTTTCCCTCCAGGTACCTTCTCTGCCTGAAATCCTGGAGGATGAGGGATGTCAGTCAGCGTAGATCGGGGTTTAGGGGCCACAGGGGACCAATCCTAGAAGAAAATGAGAAAGAATAAGAGACCGGGGGTCAATCTAGGTCCCCAGGCCCTGGCCTTTAGGGCCACGCTGCCTCCGCTCCTTTGGAAGAAGTCATTTCCCACTAGCTGCAGTTTCTGAACCATCTTCAAGGGCAGCCCCAGGTCTAACTGGGAGATGCATGGACTCCTGTGACAATAAGTCATCCCTGTCCAGGAAAGGTGGACCCAAGTGCTCTAAGCCTTTGAGTCTTCCTGGATCTCCAGTGACAAGGATGGATCCAGGACTACAGTCAGCCATCCACATCCATGGACTCTTTATCCACAGATTCAACCATCCACAGCTTCAAAAGATTCCAAAAAGATAGAAATTCCAAATAGCATACCTTGATTTTGTCATTTTGTATAAGGGACACCATTTCGCTATGCCACTGTATTTAATGGGACTTGATTATCCATGGGTTTTGGTACCCACTGGGGGCCCTAGAACCAAACCCCAGCGGATACCAAGGGACAACTGTAATACTACTACTAATAATAATAATAATAGTAATACCCAATTGAATGTAACGGGACTTGAGCATCCCTGCATTTTGGTATCCACCGGGGGTCCTGGAACCAAGGCCAGTGGATATCAAGAGATAATAATAATAATAATAATAATAATAATAATAATAATAATAATAATAATAATAATAATATCCCATTGTATATAATGGGACTTGAGCATCCCTGCATCTTGGTATCCACCGAGGGTCCTGGAACCAAAGTCCAGCAGATACCAAGGGCCAATGTACTTGTGCTCCTTCTGGACTTGTGCAACTCCATCCATGGGAGGCAAGCTACCCCGTTCCTGGACCCGGGAGCCACCCGTCCACAGAGCCTCCATTTTATGAGGACCCATCCTCCGTTTATTCCATCCCATTGCAGCACCCAGGCACCTGCCTTGCCCCATCCGACTCAGATGACAAGGAGAAGAAGCAGAGCTGAGTGTCATTAGCGGAGTGATGTCACCAAACCCCAAAAGTCCTACTGGCAGGCTGACTAGACACCCTCCTTTTCCAGGACATGTCCTACATTTCAACCTTCTGTCCAGGAAGAATTTCAAAATGTCCTAGGGTCCAAAACACACGGCAGAAACAATCCAGTTTGGGACCGCTTTAACTGCCCCGACTGAATGCTAGGGAATCCTGGGAACTGGACTTTATTGTGGCACCAGAGCTCTCTGACAGAGAAGACTAAAGGTCACACCAAACTACTGTTCCCAGAATTCCCTAGCATTGAGCCAGGACAGTTAAAGCGGCCTCAAGCTAGATTATTTCTGCAGTGTGTTTCGGACCACAGAAGCGTGAGTGTTTTTAGCTTTTATTTTGTAACGTCCTACATTTTTCTTGAATGTTGCATGTTTTGGGGTGCCTTGTCCTCCTTTGCAGTTAGGACATCTGGTCACCCTGCCTAATGACCTCTGCTAAACAGTGAGGGACACGAAGATGGAGCCCTATGGCACCCCATGGGTCAGCGGCCGTAAGGCTGACCAATGCCACTCTCTGGAACCAACCTTGCCAACCACTTGGTTTCCTGAAGGATCAGCCTTTGTTTGGGAAACAAAATATGTAAGTGTCAAAAATATGAAAGCTAAGCTTGCTGGCGATTAGCTTTCACTTGCAAAGAATTGGAAAAATGGAAAAACATGCTCCAGTCTGACGCTGCTTCTCTAAGGAGTTTATCACACGGGGGGGAAATTGGGACTTTAAACAGTGATTAACCCGAGAAAATTGCACAATTGACATTAAAACGTGATTAAAATTAGGTTAACACAAGGGCCATGGTTCTGGGAATAACCATGGAATAACCCCGCAATAAACAGCAAAAAGTCATTCACGGGAAAATCGGGGAATGATTTGCTGATGTTTCTTGCCTGGTTATTGATGGGTTTATAATGGCATTTTAATCACGTTTCACCTTGACCTCATGTGAAAACCATTAGCACAATTACGTGATAATAATGGGTTATTTGCAGGATAATATTG